ACCTTGGAGCGGGGTCGAGGGCGGGAAGCAGGCGGCGGGGAGGGGGTCAGGGCGTCGGCGGCCACCGGGGTGCGCTCGGGGGACGCCAGAGCGCCGACGCCAGCACCTGGCGGTAGGACAGCCGGGGCGACGGGGAGGCGGACGGAAGGCTGGTCTCCAGCCAGCCGAGCTCGTAGGACTGGCCGGTGGGGGGAGGGGAAGCCATCGGAGGAGGGCACGGGGCCGGGAGGGCCGGCGCAGAGGGTGGACGTTGGGGCCGGAGTGGCCGCCGACGGCGAGGGCTAGGGGCGGGGAGCGGGAGCTTGATCTCTATAAAAAGGAAAGTTTCCCTTCCATGAAGTTTGCTCCTGGCATCCTAGCAGCACCCAAGATTGGAACTGACACTGAGAGGTGGGAGCATGATTACCTCGCCCAGCTCATGTGTGCATCGTAGTGCAACACAGTATCATCCTCACGTACCTTCATGGCTGCCAAGTTTGAGGAGCCCATGCACAAAGTGTTTGTAGCTACCCCTTGTGACCTAGCTCTGCCGCTCTATGTGCACCCTTGGACAACGACTCAATTGCACCATGTAGCTGACTCGCTGCCCCTGTGGCATCTGCCTCCTGTGTATTCCAATGACGAGACCATCAACCACTCCATCCCACTCACCTCGTCCAATCAAACCAAGTTGCCCCACGACCACCCTATGAGGCGCCACTCTAAGAAACTGAGCCAAGCTTGTGCTATTTATCACCTAGTACCAGAGCAACTTAGACTCCTTAGTGCATGCTTATGGTTAGCATTGCATAGTAGTCAGTTCAAAGTGACAAAAACTTCAACACAAGTCTAAGGGTGTGTTCCCAAGAAAACATGTCTAGTGATGTGGGTTAAGACTGAAAAGTAGCAAGTCGCTTATAGAGCAAAAGACATGTTTCAGCCTTAAGGGTAGATATGGGCGAGTGGTAAGTAAGAGACTGGTGCAGTGACGCAGAGGCATGGTGGGGTGAAGGAATGTGCAAATCGAAAGCACGAGGCGCGGGTAGCTTAGGCCCAGAATTACAGGAGATGGTACAGTCAGGATGTTGCTACTTTGATAATCAGGAAATAATGGCTAGTGGCGAAAGAGAGAAAAGATTTGGTAGCTAGTTTTCAGCTACCCCACGAGGCATGTCAAAGTAGCATGCTAATGAAACCGCCTCCTAAAGCTCCCCAGTGGGTTTTTAATGGCTTCGCAAAGGTTTGGTAGCTAGTTTTTAAACCTTAAAGGTAATTGTCGACGTCCTGGACTTGGGGGTATCCAGTCCTGCCTGCCTACGGCCCACCACGTGGCTCCATCGACGGCCTGATACGGCCCAGCTTCAACATCAACACCGCAAGACCCCTCGCGAGGGGCCAACAGGCGGACGACGCCAAGACCCCTGAAGGAGTTGGCCTCCTCAGGAGAGCTCCTGAGGGGCGGGAGAGTTCTATGCAGTTACCTCATGAGGCTCAGCTGATGTGAGCCATGACGACCAAGGCCAGGTGGGCGCAGAGCGCAGGTTTCCTCTTCGGTGCAAGGGAGGCAAGCCGCAGGCGCGGAGTCCCGAGGAATCATCCAAAGGTTTCCATTCTGGTGCAACAAGACCAAGACTGTCAGGACGGTAGGACGGAGGTCATCACCGAGCCCACCGCAACGTCACGACCAGAGGCTTTTCGCAGGCGAAGACTACTTTTGTCAGGATAGACTGTACTACTTGTCCCCTTTCAAATCCCGCCGTTGTGGAATCCCTTCCCGCTCATATTTGGGAGGAGGACCAAGGCCACTATATGGACTTAGCCACCACCATAGAGGAGGACCGAAACCAGAACAAGTAGAGCACCGCAACAGCTCAAGAACACCTCACTTCCTGAGGCTTGTTCATCCATTGTACTAGTTCATCCATAGCCCCTCGAGGCAATCCACCACACCGCACTGGATTAGGGTATTACACCACAACGGTGGCCCGAACCAGTATAAATCTCTATGTCTTTATGTCTCTGTGAGCTCGACGCGCTAGGCTAGGGAGGATCGCGAGCAGGCAGGCTAGACAGGTTGAGATCTCCGCACGCACCCCAGAGTTCGAACCTCTCAAGGGTTGCCGGATCCTGAAATCCGACAGTAATGTAGTCGGACGCCAAACGACATGGCTGTGTCAAACGTCATGGTATTAAGTAGACTTCTCCAACAACAACAACAAAGCTTTTCGTCCCAAACAAGTTGCGATAGGCTAGAGGTGAAACCCATAAGATATCGCAACCAAATCATGGTTCTGGCACATGGATAGCAAGCTTCTACGCACCCCTTTCCATAGCTAGCTCTCTTTCGATACTCCAGTCCTTCAGATCCCTCTTTATGGACTCCTCCTATGTCAAGTTAGGTCTACCCCGACCTCTCTTGACATTATCGGCACACTTTAGCCGTCCATCCACTATGCACTGGTGCTTCTAGGGCCTGCGCTGAATATGCCCAAACCATCTCAGACGATGTTGGACAAGCTTCTCTTCAATCGGCAGTACCCCAACTCTATCTCGTATATCATCATTCCGGACTCGGTCCTTCCTTGTGTGGCCAGTGGCCACACATCCATCTCAACATACGCATCTCCGCCACACCTAACTGTTGAACATGTCGCCTTTTAGTCGGCCAATAACTCAGCGCCATACAACATTGCAGGTCAAACCGCCGTCCTATAGAACTTGCCTTCTAGCTTTTGTGGCACTCTCTTGTCACAAAGAACGCCAGAAGCTTGGCGCCACTTCATCCATCCGGCTTTGATTCGATGATTCACATCTTCATCGATCTCCCTATCCTTCTGCAGCATAGACCCCAAATATCTAAAGGTGTCCTTCGAGGCACCACCTGCCCATCAAGACTAACCTCCTCCTCGTGCCTACTAGTACTGAAATTGCACCTCATGTACTCGGTTTTAGTTCTACTAAGTCTTAAACCTTCGGATTCCAAGGTTTGTCTCCATAGCTCTAACTTCCTATTGACCCCCATCTGATTATCATCGACTAGCACCACATCATCCGCAAAGAGCATACACCACGGGATATCTCCTTGTATATCCCTTGTGACCCCATCCATAACCAGAGCGAAAAGATAAGTGCTCAAAGCTGACCCCTGGTGCAGTCCTATTTTAACTGGGAAGTCATCAGTGTCGCCATCACTTGTTCGAACACTTGTCGCAACATTATCATACATGTCCTTGATGAGGGTAATGTACTTTGTTGGGACTTTGTGTTTCTCCAAGGCCCACCACATGACATTCCGTGGTATCTTATCGTAGGCCTTCTCTAAGTCAGTGAACACCATATGCAGGTCCTTCTTTTGCTCCCTGTATCTCTCCATGAGTTGTCGTACCAAGAAAATGGATTCCATGATGCATGAAACCAAACTGATTTTGGTCACGCTTGTCATACTTCTTAAGTGATGCTCAATGACTCTCTCCCATAGCTTCATTGTATGGCTCATCAGCTTAATTCCATGGTAATTAGTACAACTCTTAACATCCCCCTTGTTTTTGAAGATTGGTACTAATATACTCCGTCTCCATTCTTCTGGCATCTTGTTTGCCCGAAAAATGAGGTTGAAAACTTAGCTAGCCATACTATAGCTATGTCTCCGAGGCCTCTCCACACCTCAATGGGGATACAATAAGGCCCATAGCCTTGCCTCCTTTCATCATTTTTAAAGCCTCCTTGACCTTCGACTCCTGGATTCGTCGCACAAACGCCTACTGGTATCATCAAAGGAGTCATCCAATTCAATGGTAGAGCTCTCATTCTCCCCATTGAACAACTTGTCAAAGTACTCCCGCCATCTATGCTTAATCTCCTCGTCCTTCACCAGGATCTGGTCTGCTACGTCATTGATGCATTTAACTTGGTCAACATCCCTCGCCTTCCTCTCGGATCTTAGCCATCTTATAGATGTCCCTTTCGCCTTCCTTCATGTCTAACCGCTAGTAGAGGTCCTCATACGCCCGACCCCTTGCTTCACTCGTAGCTCGCTTTGCGGCCTTCTTTGACATCTTGTACTTCTCTATGTTGTCTGCGCTCCTATCTAGGTAGTGGCGTCTAAAACAATCTTTCTTCTCCTTAATAGCCTTCTGGACATTACTATTCCACCACCAGGTATCTTTAGCTTCTCTTTTACTTTCCCTGGACACTCCAAACTCCTCTGAGGCCACCTTACGAGTGCAAGTCGTCATCATCATCCACATATTGTTTGCATCGCCTCCTTCCTCCCAAGGGCCCTCCATAATACCCTCTCCTTGAACGCCTGAGCTCCCTCCCCCTTGAGCTTCCACCACTTCGTTCTAGCTACTTTGGCATGCTTATCCTGCTAGACAGGAATCCGAAAGCGGAAGTTAGCCACCACCAGCTTATGCTGAAGGATAATACTCTCTCCAGGTATCACCTTACAATCTAGGCACGCACGCTTGTCTTCTCTTCTCGAGAGGATGAAATCAATCTGGCTAGAGTGTTGACCACTACTAAAAGTCAGTAGATGTGATTCCCTCTTTTGAAATAGGGTGTTAGCTACGATCACTGTCAGATCGTCCAAGATGGAAGTTTCTTCACAGAATCACTATCAGATCCTTGTATTGCCTCTTCTACTAGTGCCCCCAACCTAACCGATAGCCTATCCAACTCCTTGATTCGGTTTTTGGTAGGAGCACGAGTCTCCAACTTGCATAATTCACTGGCTAGTTGTGTAAAGCATTCGTAATAAAGGCATGTATGTATTTTTTAAAATCATTAAAATGTTATGTTGGAACCTTTGTTTGTCATGTGTATGAATAGTACGTGGAACACAAGCTTTTCCTCGACTGGTGAAGATGAGCGCAGTTGGGTCATGAGGAAAAACTAACCCCGCGCCAGGGTAAGCTAATTAACATGCATACAACAAGCAATACGAACTGACTCATGTCCAAAGATGGAAAGAATAATTAAAAATCACTATTATTTGACTTTTTGTTTAGCAGAACCCATACCTTCAAAAAAGTTCTGCTTGTTCATAGGTGCTTCAACCTGCATGAGTGCATATGTTACAACGATGATCGGAACAATAATTGCCTCGCTTAACAAGAGCGTGAAACGACAAAGAGTGAGTGAATTAATAAAAATCCTTATGGTCCAACTTGCATAGTAGATGTTGAATATCAACTTATTCAATTCAAAGTGGCCTAATAACTGTCAAACATTCATGTACAACTTATGCAAGAGTTGAATTACCATGAATAAACACACCATACAAAGTGATTCTCATGCCTAAATTACTTTTACTTCAGTTAGAGGTAAGTGGTTGTTTGGTTGTCTCTAAGCTATTAGGGATAGAAAGTTTTTTTGTTACAAGGAGATACATTTGAGCCAGGACAGTTAACAACCATATCTTCTCTTCAAGCTAAGCTCATGACGAACTTGACATACAGGATCCGATGTCATTAGTTAACTAAGCGGTCCTAGGTCAACATGTTCATATTGTTGAGAATAGCAACTTGTATTATTAGGAGGCCAATGCCAACATATATACACACGCATGAGAATGCCAAAAGGCTACAAGAGGATGCCACGAGACTAGAATGCAAAAGGCCAAAAGACATCATTTAATATAACTGTAACACCCCCCCCCCTCAAACTCATGGTGGATCCACAACACTGAGTTTGGAAAGGTGAAATCCATGTTGCGCTCTAGCCTGAGCCTTCGTGAAGAAGTCCGCTAGCTGTAACTCAGAAGGCACATACTGAAGAGCAACAACATGATCCTGCACAGCAGCGCGCACCTAAGAAGCATCAACACCAATGTGTTTGGTAAGCTCATGCTTCACGGGGTCCCGCGCAATACTGATAGCACCTATGCTGTCTGACAGGAGGGTGGTAGGTGTAGTAACAGAAACACCAAAATCCTCCAGTAACCATCATAACCAAGTCACCTCAGCCGTCAGAAGAGTCATAGCTCGCAACTCGGCCTCTGCACTCGAACGAGAAACTGCAGTCTGTTTCTTCATCTTCCAGAAAATGAGGGAACCACCAAGAAAGACACAATAGGCAGAAAGTGAACGATGATCTGTAGGATCACTAGCCCACGTAGCATCCGAATAGGCCTGGAGCTGTAACGAGCTGGAACGGGGGAAAAGAGACGATGAGAGATCGTGCCACGAAGATATCGTAGAACGCGAAGAAGGTGACTATAGTGAACTGAAGTGGGAGCAGAAAGAAACTGACTCGGAATATGGACAGGATAGGAAATATCCGAACGAGTGACAGCAAGATACACAAGACTCCCAACAAGATGACGATAACGTGTCGGACCAGACAAGGGCTCACCATCAGAAGCACGAAGGTGAACATTGAGCTCCATAGGAGTCTCAGCAATGCTCTCATCACTAAGAGCCGCACGAGTAAGAAGACCCTGGATATACTTTTCTTAGGAAATAAAAAAGCCAGCATAGATGGAGGAAACCTCAATCCCAAGAAAGTAACGAAGAGGACCAAGATCAGACATAAGGAACTGCTCATTAAGACGGGCCTTGACAAAGGCAATGTACTCAGAATCGTCGCCAGTGATGATCATGTCATCAACATATACAAGAAGAAGAGTGCGACCACGAGCAGAAAGGTGGACAAACAACACTGGATCGTGATCACTGGGTGAAAAACCAGCAGCAGTGACCACAGAGGCAAAACGCTCAAACCAAGCACGGGGGGCTTGCTTAAGGCCATAGAGAGAGCGACGAAGACGACAAACCATGCCATCGGGAACTGAATACCTAGGTGGTGGTTGCATATAAACCTCCTCATGCAACTCACCATTAAGAAAGGCATTTTTAACATCAAGTTGTGACACGGACCAGTGGCGAACAGAGGCCACGGCGAGAAGTGTGCGGACAGTGGTCATATGGGCCACAGGAGCAAATGTCTCATCATAATCACGACCATGCTCCTGCTAAAAGCCGCGAGCCACGAGACGAGCTATATAACGCTCGAGAGAACCATTTGAGCGAGTTTTAATCTTATAGACCCACTTACAAGTGATGGGACGAACACGGGGAGGAAGAGAAACCAGATCCCATGTGCCGTTGCGCTCAAGTGCGGCAATCTCCTCTGCCATCGCAAACTGCCATTCAGGATGAACAACAGCATCACGATAAGAAGTAGGCTCAAGTACAACCGAAAGGCCATATCGGCTAGGAGAATAGCGGTCAGGAGGAGGGCAAGGTCGAGCCCGAAGACCATAAGTCGGCTGGGACGAGGAAGACGGTGCACCAGAAGTAGATGGCACGTCAATAGATTCATCCATAACACGTCGACGACGGGTATAATGAAAAGGAAAAGTGGGATGAGAAGGAACCACTGGAGGTGATGGAGATGAAGAAGACATCGGTGATGAAGGTGGGAGTGTCATGCAATAAGGAAGGAGAAGAAACGATAGGAGCAGATGGTGTCGGATCTACAATAGTGGGACGAGGAGGAGTAGGAATATGAGGCACAGAGGGAGGTGTAGCAGGAAATGTGAGAAAAGAGATATCCTCTACTGAAAAGGTCGAAGAGGATGGTCGTGGGTAGAATTGACGAGACTCATCAAAGGTCACATCCCTAGAAATACGCATCCGTCGACCGACAGGATCCCAACACCGATAACCCTTATGTTCATCACTGTAGCCCAGAAAAACACACTCGACAGACTGAGCGCTTAGTTTGGTGCGTTCTCGGGGGGCAAGGAGAACATAACAAGCACAACCAAACATCCAAAGAGCAGAATAATCAGGAGAATGATCAGAAAGACGCTCTAGAGGAATAGCTCCCTGTAGAGCAGATGAGGGTTGAATGTTTATGAGATATGTGGCAGTGGAGACAGCCTCAGCCCAGAAATGAGGCGGAAGAGAGACGGCAATCATCATCGCACGAGCTGTCTCAAGAAGGTGACGATGCTTGCGCTCAGCCACGCCATTCTAAGCATGAGCACCGGGACAAGAGAACTGAGCAAGAGTACCCCGCTCAGCAAGAAAACCACGCAACATTTTGGAGATATACTCGCCAGCAGAATCAGCACGAAACACACGAATAGGTGTAGAGAACTGAGTGTGGACCATGGAGGCAAAACGCTTATAAATAGAGAGAACCTCGCTACAAGAAGACATGAAGTAAAGCCAAGTGTAGCGAGAGAAATCATCTATAAAAATAATATAGTATCGATGGCCCCCTTTGGAATAGAAGGGAGCCGGACCCCACACATCTGAATGTACTAAATCAAAAGGGCGCTAAGACACTAACTTGCTAGTAGGATAAGGTAACTGAACTTGTTTACCAAGCCTACAACCCTGACATTGTAAGGAGACATCTCCTGAGACAGGCCCCAGAAGACCACGACGAACTAAAGACAATAGTCGAGAACCACAAAGGTGACCAAGTCGATGATGCCACTGCTGGAAGGAGCTGGTAGCTGAAGCGACGAAGGCAGATGGACTGGCGAGTGTGGTGGTAGCGGAAGGAACATTAAGCCAGTCCAACTCCCAAAGCCCCTGAGAATCATGGCGGCGCGGGCCAGCCCCAACCAGAGCCTTCGTGTGGCGATCTTGGATAGTGCAAGAATCAACATCAAGAATGACACGACAACCAGAATCAGTAAGCTGACCCGCAAAAAATAGGTTCATAGTAAGGCGAGGCACATGAGAAACATCTGGAACATAAAAGGAAGTGGCAAGAGTGCCTTGACACGCAACAGGAAGAGGAGTATCATCAGCAGTAAGAACATTAATAGGAAAATCAAGAGATCTACGAGAGGACAAGATAGAAGAATCGGAGGACATATCAAATGAAGCTCCAGAATCCAGAACCCATGGGGATGTACCTGACTGTGTAGACAGTGGTCGCTCAACACTAGAAGCACCAGTCACAGAGCCTGCAGTACCTGTCGAAGAGCCTGAAGCAGCAAGTAGACGCTTGAGCTTCACAATATCTTGCTCAGTCAAGGAGACACTAGATGGCGTCGAGGAAGAAGCACGAGTCCCAGAAGAAGAATTGCGCTCCATATTACGCATAACATTTCTTCTTGAAGCAGTCAGACTCGGGGTGACCATCCCTGTTGTAGTAGTCACAATGAGTACAAGGACGAGAGCGGCCTTCACGAGAGCGGGTCTCACTACCCGAAGGAGTGGGCAGTAGCGGCGGAGCACTGGAGCGAGAAGACACTGGTGGAGTAACAGCTCGAGCAGCGAGCACAGAGGGAACCTGAAGCAAACCAGCACCACGGAGGCGAGTCTCCTCAGCACGAAGCTCGGAAAACACCTCAGAAATAGGAACACGGCCACGAGCAAACAACTGAGCACGTCGAGGCTCAAACTCCCCATGGAGCCGTGACAAGAACTCATAGACGCGCTGAAACTCCCAAGTCTGACCTCACAGTCTGGCAACACGGGCAAGTGCCACAAACAGTAGTGCGAGGGAGTCAAGCTGGCGCCAGATAGCAGAACTCTGAGTGTAGAACTCATCAATAGTGGAGTCTCCCTGCTAAAGAGCATACTCCTGACGGACCACAGACAAGTAGAGAGCATCACCAGAGGGTTGATAGCACTAACGAAGATGAGTCCACATCTCAAAGACAGTACCGAGGCCTATAAACTCAGAAGCAAACTGAGGCAAAACACTGGAAGTGAAAATAGTCGCAACACGAGCGTCATCATCACACCACTGAGTGTAAGCAGCCAGATCGTCACGATAAACAGAAAGAGCATTTGAATAATCCAAGACCTCCTGGTCATAAGTGGCACCCGCATCATCAGCAGCAACCCTGGTTGCAGCCCTATCAGCATCAGAAGCATCTGCGTCAAGAGCTGGTGGCGTCGGCGGTGGGGTAGGAGCCACAGGAGGCACTAGGCGCGGATGACAGGGGACCTCACCGGAAAGAACACCCCAGAGACGAATGCCACGCATGTGAATGTGCATAAAGGCAATGAACTTGGCATAGTTAGCCCCATCAAATAACACCGGGCAGCGCGGGATGGCAACATAGCCAGATGACGCCAAAGACA